GTTAGATTGAAAGTTCATATCTCTTAGATCATATATGTCAAATTTTGTTAAAATTGAACAACAACTTGAAGGTAATCAAAGTGTTCATATTTTAGTATATTTTGAAATGTATATATTACGTCAATTTTGTTTTATGAGAATGAAATATCAAATCATCTTAGATTAATATAAAATTTAACATATATAATCTAAGATATATGAACTTTCAATCTAACGGTTGGATTTTCAAAATTTACATTTAATATAAAGTTACTAAGCGGTGTAACACTTAGTTAAAGTTATACCGGTGTCGTTTGAACCCTCCTCATATATATATATATATATATATATATATGTTTTTGAAAAATTTAACTCACAATTTTATTTGATTGTGCGTGAAATTTAGAAAATATCTCATTGATATTAGTGTTTCAGTTCAACCAGCTGCAATTAGTCATGTTATTGATTTAATTTTTTTTTTAAATGATAAATCATATGGGTAAGAGATATTTTGTTAAACATATTTGTGATTTGTTTGATCTAAAAAAATAATGTTACTGTAATATGACAATTTTAAGTTATTATTTTTAATTTTATTTCTAAAAAAAAAATCATCATATCTCTCATCGTAAAGCAATAAATTGAATTTTTTTAACTTAATTATAAACAACAATGATTTTTATATATTAATCAAGGATAAATTTATTTTATATCATTAATTAATTATTAACTTTATTTTCTATGTATTTACTTATAACTAACATTAAATATAACAACCACTTAAAATAAAGAGTATCTTTAGAATAAAATTGAAATTTATGATAACATTAATTAAAAATAACTAATGTCATTACTTTTTTTGGTCTAAATAATGTGTCCTATGTTATTTATAATTAAGATAAAAAATAGTATTATTTATAAAAATTTAAACATAATTAATTTAATTAAAAATTATATCTTTGATAAAAGAAAACATAATTAAAGTATCAAATATACTATTGTATTATTAATAATACTACCTTTATTTATTTTTAACAGTCATTTACGGCTTTTATACACAAACCAAGAAATACTTTTTTTTTTCTTCTGTTTTTCATATAATAATTTTAACTTTTCTAGTATGTTTGCATTCATTTTTATTTAGTAATAAATGTACGTTAATTATAAATTGACAAAACAATAATTAATGGAATTTTAAACTTTGAAAATGATAGATAAATAGAAACAATTTTTTCCTAATCGATAATTAAAAAAGAACAAACTTAGTAAGAAATTAAGAATCAACCATGTAGTTAGTTACACTAAAACAAAACTAAAAAGATGATGTTGTTAGCTCTGGTGGGATTAAGCCTAGATTTCTTAAAATATGTCTTTAATTTTGAGAATCGTACATAATTATTAGAAGAGAAAACTATGGTAAAAGTGGTCAATTAAACTTTTATTTAAAAATTAATTATTAACAAAATTAATAAATATTTCATATCAATAAAATAGTGTCAAAATAAAATATGATATGATTTTATAAAAAAAATAAGATATAATAGAAATCATAATTCATCATATCGTGTTATTATTATATAAATTAAAAAAGAGAAGACCTGAATTATCTTAACTTCCTCTTCTTAGTTTTTCTTTTTTATGTTTTCTTGTTTTCTAAAAATTATATTCAATCTTTTTATAAATACAAATTATTTTTTCTCAAGTTAAGTTTTATAATATAATAATTAAATATAATATTTATTCATTAAACACATTATTAAACTTTTATTAATCAGTGTGAAACAATAGATAATTCTAACTGTAACTTGACACATATTAAACAACAAATAATTTTAAGTACTGTAACTAGATACATCTTTTTTCTTTTAACTTTATTTTCATTAAAGTAAGTAACTATGAAAGATTATTTTGTATATATATATATTTAAGAACATTAGTATCTTAAAATTAATAATTAAAAATTAATTATGTTTGGAAATCGTGATTTTCGTTTAACATACATTATTTTAACATAATGCATCTTATACTTTCTTTATTATTATGTTACTATTATTATTATCATGATTATTATGGCTTGAAATTTCTTTAACAATCGTCTAATAGTTAATAGTATTGACAGTGTCTAGCAAAAGAAATGACATTTTATATATTGCTAATTCGTACGGTCACTTTCAATTTAGACCATCATTTTTTTTTCATAATCTATAAAAGTTCTTTCTTTTTGTTTACTTCCATATGTCCTTTTGTTAAAAGGAAATGTTGAAAAGTACAAAATTCTTGATAAACATAATTTTCTCCTATCATGTGTTTTCTTTTTCGGTTAAATAAAGACACCAACCTATCCTGTGATATTATTGAAAATATATCCACTTTCCAATAAAGATTAAAGCTGTGAAGGGATGCTTTAGTTTATTGTCATTGTACATGTTCAGTGATTCAACTGTTTGTTCTCTTCAATTTTATTTTAAATAAACGGTTCTTATAATACTCCATCATATATATGAATAATGTTTTAAGCGATTACAAAAATACTATTCTAAAAAATACCACATGTTATAAGTATCTGTAAAATTTGATCATACTACTTATTTTCCCTATCATTAAGACCAAACAATTCTTTTTTAAATGCATCAAATTTAATCAGCATGACTTGTATTTCAGGATTAGACTTATTTCTTACATCCAACAAAATCAAAATGGTTAAATATCAGTATCATAATATTAATACTAAATATAGTGGCACATATTTTTTTCTCCAATTAATCGAAATGTGTCTTGTTATGGCAATGGCTTTCCACCCACGAAGGTGACACCCTTTGTATATCCATTAATGGACACTAAATTTGGAAGGAAGAAGAAGAAGATGGAAAAAAATAATAATAATAAGTTAAAATAAAAATAAAAAAATCGAAATAAACTAACAAAAAATGAAAGCTTGGAACCAGGTAGACCAGCTGTGTCTGTCGGCGAATAACCAAGCACACCCATAAGCACCCTCTTAGCTCTTTCTCTCTCTTCAAACTTTTCAATTCAGTAGTGACATAGTTAGAGAGAGAGAGTGTCTTCAAAGTTCAAGCTCTTCAATTCAGTTGTGACATAGTTAGAGAGAGAGAGTGCGTGGGTTTGTGTTGTACTAGTACTTTGTTTTTTTCCTTCAACTTGTGAACAAAGGTTGAAGCTTTCAATCATCTTCTTTGCAAATTCTGAGAAAATCATCATGGGTATGCTATTATTGCCCATTGTTGCTGTCAAGGGACTAATGAGGGACAGTGGAACGAAACTATAGCAGAGTGTAGAGGAGGATGAGAAGAAATCCACACGGTATTTGAGTTGCAAATGATTCTAATCTATTGAGGAAGCAATGTAGAACAAGGTTGTTGCAACACTGGGTGGAAAAGAACTATGGCTAGGACTACTAGTTTTTGAGGCTTAGAAAATGGTTTCAATTTGAGACGTGGGAAGTGGGGAATGGTGTGAGATTGGTTGCTGCTTGCTAGTTATTGGTTTTTGTTGGTTTTCTTCTTTTTGCTTGTGTTGTTTCGGGGGTTGAGGAATTGAGTGTTGGTGGATCGAGCGCAATGGAGTCTCGGATGGATCAGTATGAGATCATGGAGCAGATCGGTCGAGGAGCATTTGGAGCTGCTATTCTTGTTAATCACAAGGCTGAGAAGAAGAAGTAATTGTCACCACTTTTGCATTTCATTGATGGGGTTATATTTGTTTGTTTCTTCATGAGAAATTCGTTGATGAGTAGGTTTGTAAGTTTGATAACTGAAACTGAAGCTTCATTTTATTCTGTTGCAGATATGTGTTGAAAAAAATCAGGCTTGCAAGGCAGACTGAACGATGCAGAAGATCTGCTCATCAAGAAGTGAGTTCTTGCGCACGTGTGCACGCTTTTTGGTTATCGCTGCTTGTTGATTTATTTCATGTATCTGGAATCTGCTTCTGTTTGTGGAGGGGATTTGACTGTTGTTGCTTGTTGGAATTGTAGATGGCTCTTATTGCTCGAATCCAGCATCCTTACATTGTGGAATTCAAGGAGGCATGGGTTGAGAAGGTGAGAGATCCTTTAAGTTTTTGTGTAATGTAATCATAGTCCTGGTTTCTTTCAACTAATTGTTGACAATTACACTATTGCACTCTCTGTTGTAAACTAGAAGTGTGAGAATTATGACCATTTACTTTTCAGCTAAGCACATTCTACTTCTGCTGTAGGGTTGCTATGTCTGCATTGTGACTGGATACTGTGAAGGTGGAGACATGTGAGTATATATACCTATGAACTAGCAGTGTCATGTGGAACAGTGGAAGTTCATATTTTATATGCTCAATCTCTTAAAGTTTACTATACTTGTTCTCTCCAGTTATTTAAAAGTTTTTTATGCTTATTTTCTCTTCAAATCTGTAACAGGGCTGAATTGATGAAAAAATTAAACGGTGCTTACTTTCCTGAGGAGGTATTGTTGTCCCAAGTTTGTGAGTTTGTGTTTTTTTATGCGTGTATTCTTTTCCCATGGCTTACTTTGAATGTTGTTGAAATTGCTCAGAAACTCTGCAAATGGTTCACTCAATTACTGTTGGCAGTGGAATACCTGCATTCAAATTTTGTTTTACATCGTGACCTAAAGGTATACTTTTATGAAACAGACTATATGGTCTATGATTCTTGTCTTTCATTTTAAATGTATTAAGTCTGATTTTGTTGACTCTGTTGACAGTGTTCCAACATCTTTCTTACCAAGGATCAGGATGTTCGCCTAGGTGAGTTCACCTACCTACCCATCTTTGATTATATTGGAGATAGGTTTTTAAGTCCTCATCTGAATTTGTCCTTATTTTTCTGTCATGTAGGGGATTTTGGGCTTGCTAAGACACTAAAAGCAGATGATTTGGCATCTTCGGTATGTGTAACACTGGGAACATGTTGCTTTCTTCTTTATCTTCTCTTTTTGCTCAAAAAAGATCTCTAAGATTCATGCAAAACATTTTTCCTATCAAGTTTCCATTTACGATTTTAGAGTTTTTCATCTTTAAATCATAACCTTTTCTTTCTAGGTCTTGTGTAGACTTATAGAGATATACTAAGAAGACATCAATTCTAATTGTCAAATAGGCATGCATAGTTATTTGGACATCTAATTTTTGCTCCATAATACTTGATTTGTTTATGAGAACCAGAAGCTTCAACATTTTTAATTGTTACTGAGCTTTTCATCTATTGGCCAAGCCAGCCAAGGACTAATAATATCATCTGAACTATGTTTAGTTAAAATTATCCTATTGTTAAATTTATTTGTTCCTTCACACCTTACATCTCATTTATTTTTTATAGTGAAACTAGACGTTCACCAAAACATTTTTCATTTTAAAGTAACAGAAAGTATGGCCGTCGGAATTAATTTGTTTAATCAGTTCCCTTTTCTTCAAAAAAAGGGGAACAATAATGTTTGCTTCATGCAAAACATAAATTTTCAGCCCCATACCTTTCCCTCTAGTGAGCAAGCGTTATTTTCCTGATCCTTTTAAGTTACAAACTATATTTCAGACAAAGAAAATAGTGGAAATAGGAATTGAGTGTTGTTTGAGTGAACTGAATTTGCTTGCTTGCTTGAAATTTGATAGATAAGAAAAGTGTTATTGCTCTTATTGATAATAGGACAAGATCTTTTCTAGAATTCGGGCTCTTTCAGCTGAGAGACCTTGCTGTTGCAAACTTGTTTATTATCTCATATTTTGTGTGGACAAAATTCATATTTTAATAATGTTCAACTTCTAGAGGTTTGAAATATGACAATGCTACCAACTTTTAATTCCATATGATTAGTGTTACGCTTATATACAAATTCATAGTAACCACATATTGAATTAATAATTGCTGTAAATGTTTCTGTACAGGTGGTAGGAACTCCTAATTACATGTGCCCTGAACTGCTTGCTGATATTCCGTATGGATTCAAATCTGATATTTGGTCACTAGGTATGTATTTTACAACCTAGTATCTAATACTTGCAGATTTGGTTTTGCCGCAGCTAAAAGGCATTTTTCTTGCTCAGGGTGCTGTATATACGAGATGGCTGCTCATCGCCCCGCTTTTTAAGCTTTTGTAAGATTTCTTTTGATTTTTTAATTTAAAATAGTTATAGTTAGGATGTAATTCGTTTAATTGAAGAAGTAGATTGCATGCTAAGTTTTTATCAGAGTTTGAAAAGCTACCACCTACAAGATATGTTCTACTCAACATATAGTTTCCTAATATTTTTCTTGAACTTTGTTGATTAGAGTTGTTGAGTGATGTTTTCTTGTTGGTAGAATATGTTTCATGTGATTCTCTGCGGTATATATAGACAATTATGTTTTATGTATGTGGAGGTATCTCACCATGGTTTATTTCTTGGGTTTTAACAATGGCATGGTAAATCATGTTTCAGGATATGGCAGGATTGATAAGCAAGATAAACCGTTCTTCCATTGGCCCTTTGCCTCCATGTTATTCCCCTTCGTTGTAAGTTTCCATCTGCTTTTGGGGAGATTAATATTCTTTTGTCACTACCCTTCATGATGAAAGCCGGTTTAAGACAGTGAGATATAGTTGTTACTTGCTACTGTGCACACATTTACCCGTGTTAAGGCCATAGAGTGCATTTTGCTGTGCAACTCCAACTTTGTTTATTCTCCATTGTTTTTTTTTATAATCACCGTCGAATATGAGCTGTAGGTCTAGCAAAGCTACTTAAGATTAAAAAAAACAATGTTTGTGAAACCATGCATCTTAAGATGTTTCTGCTATTCATATAGAAAGGACCATATAGGACAATGTCTGTGAAATATGAAGGCTTGCATTGGAATTAGGAAAAATTTAAAGCATCTTCTAGCAGTTGATGAGAAAGATCAAGTTTTGTTTACTTACTAGTTCAATTTGTTATTTTTCTCTTCAAGAATCTAAGTTGTTGACTACTGTAACTACAGGAAAACATTGATAAAGGGCATGCTAAGAAAAAATCCTGAGCATCGGCCAACAGTAAGCCTTTTTTTGAGAATCATTAATTTCCAATGTGGAAATGGTTAAATATTATTGCTTTTTCTAAATATCTTCACTTCATATTTTTCACAGGCATCTGAGGTGTTAAAGCACCCCTATTTGCAGCCTTATGTTGACCAATATCGTCCATCTTTCAGTCCTCCAACAACCTGTTCTCCTGAAAAACCAATTTCTGCTGTCAATGATCCTCGAAAAAATATGGCTGAAAGCCAAAACAGCAATAGTTCAAGTAGTGACAAAGATAGTTTGATGTCAAATGAGAAAAACATTGCAACAGCAGTACCTAAGTGTGATAACAAAGCCACTGAGACAGATCAAATATCAATTGATGATGATGGCTCAGACGAAGAAAATGGCTCTAGTAATGCCATTGCCAATACCAAAACAGCTGAGCAAGAGGTGATGAAACCATCTCATAATGAACACCACTCTAATGTTGAATCTAAGCAGCCAAAAACAATTAGAAACATAATGATGGCATTGAAAGAAGGAAAAGTTAGAGAAGCAACTTCTCCAATGAGAGGCAATCGCATAAAGCCTGGCGGTGTACCAACACAGAAAATAAGCACAGAAACATTGTCTAAATTGCCTAAACCTAATTTTATTGCTCCAAGTGTGAAGCCTAATTTAGATTCACCAACTGTTGCACTTGCAAGGGCAACCCCCGACTCTGCAAAAAGAATGCAGGGATCACATCATTCAAAGCATCAGGTATCATCATTTGAAATTATCTATGTTACCAGCACTACCTAAAGAGTTCCTCATGACATTGACATTCATTAATGGTATTTTATTTCTGTATGCTGACAGTTGCTGATGACAGAAGCCTCACCAAAAGTTAAACCTAGACATGATTTGACTCCACCATCTGGACATGTCAAACAAGTAGAAGGAGATGGAGTTCCTCCCAAACCAAGGCAAAGGACTCCCCCAAGCTTACTTAGAAGACCTTCATTTTCTGGAAGAATGAGGCTGGCTGGAATAGATGTTCCAAATGTAGCAAATGATACTGGGAAGCTAGGCACAAATAAAGTATCCCTGGAACCTGAGATGAGCCATTATCAATTGGCCAATGGCAATTTACCACATATTTCTAGACAGGTTACTAGAGAGCCTCATAAGGCTTTTGAAAGAAGTTCCAAAGGAATGCAGACAGACAGCAGCAATTCTGCCTCATCTTCAGTTTCTATACAAGGATGTGAACTTGCTGATGATGCAACAACTTTTATTGACATGAGAGAACAGCAGACACTTCCTGATCATGAGAATGTAAACCATATTGTAGGTGTGGAATCATGTCCTGACAGTGTGCCACCAACAACTTGTGCACATTGTAAGATGGTTGAAAAAGTTCCTAAAGAAACCTGTGGGGTTACCATGAATTTTCAGAATACTAGTAGTAGTAATGAGAAAGTGAGTTCCAGTTTAACTCGAGATCACCATGTTGAAGATTCCAAGCTAACACTTGCTTCAGAAGGTGGTCTTGTTATAAACCAGACAACTATATCTACTTGTGATAATAGATCTGCAGACCTATCTGCTGAAGCCAACAAAGAAATCAATGATTTTCAAGATATTTCCAAGGAAATGCCTTTAACCAAGTCTCCCAAACAAGCACCCCCAAGTTCTGGAGAAAAGTCTGTTCATGTAGAAGTTAGTCCAGTTAGTGAGCCTGATATAGTTAGCCAGCCAAGACTTGGATGCAAATCTCCTGGTGATGACAAATTCACAGTGAGGGAGCATCTGTCACCGGTGGCTGAAACTGTTCCTGTGGTTACCACCACTAAATTATCAGGACAGAAAGTTTTGCAAGATACAGGAACTGTGTTGCAGAATCCAGCATCAGAAAGGCCTGATACCGGCCATCTTCCTCCAGCCTTTGATGATGTTATCCATGTCATACGCCACAGTAGTTACCGCGTTGGAAGTGAGCAGCCAGTAAAGGAATCTGTCGAGATGGGAGTTCAAAATGTAGATGTTGGCAAGTTTATCAATGTTGTGAGGGATGATCTAGAAATGAGGAACATAACCTCACCTTTGACCCTCAAATCTTCAAGTTGCTCTGATGTTACAACCTTGAAATCAAATATTTCTGATCAGATGGAAATGAACAACTTGAACACTCCTCCCGTCCTTAAATCTTCAAGTTTCTCTGATACTTCTAGCTTGAAATCAAGCATTTCTGATCATCCTGGTTACAAGGAACAAGATGTGAGTATCCCTCCTTCTTCAGTTTCAGAACCTGATTCTGCTGAGCTCAGTAAATGCACCACACCTATGAATGAAGACAAACTACCAGCAAAGGAAACATTGGATGTGAAATCTTTCAGGCAGAGAGCAGAGGCACTTGAAGAGCTCTTGGAGTTGTCTGCAGAGTTGCTGCAGCAAAACAGATTGGAGGAACTTCAAGTTGTTCTGAAGCCCTTTGGGAAAGACAAGGTGTCTCCCAGGGAGACAGCCATTTGGTTAGCCAAGAGTCTCAAAGGAATGATGTCTGAGGAAAGTGGTGGACGCTCATCATGAGGTATGATAAGTTCATTTGTACTTGATGTTTAAAATTTGCCCTTAAATAGTTCATAGCTATTCAAGTACCACTTGAATTCATAAGAGAACAAATTGGGTTTGTCCCTTCTTTCATTATTGTAATTCTTTCAGTGCTTTTATGCTGTTGTAAATAGTGACCATACAAATTAATAACATCAGCTTACGATTAATTGTATGGACATTCTGTGTCCCGGCATAGTTGTTAAATATTATTGTACAAGAGTTGCTATGATTAAATGGAGCTAACCAAAAAACATAAAAGGGTTTACTTATTAATTTACCAGAAACAGAAACCGTGCTTCCACTAGTAATCAGATAGCAATGTTTTCTCAACACTATAATTTTCGACTGAATAAGATAAAGATTCCTTATATTCTAGAGAGAATTTGAAATGTCATTGTCGAAAACTACGTCAGTGGATACAGGTAGTTACCTTATTTCCGCTTAGTTTCCTAGATTCCCTACTTTCCTAGAAGCATCGTGGAACCTTCCTATACCATAGGTGCTATAACAAGCAAACGTTACACGCGTTTTTGCTAGTTATATATGTGTGTTTTTTAATGTTTTTTTCATTCCTCATATAACTTATCTTCTATTTGTCAATTCTACCAGCTTCATCATCATAACAAAAACTGTGTGGTGCTGTTAAAGGCACATAACAACGCACCGCGCCAAAATTGCACTTGCCTACACTAGCTAGCATCATTGATAAGACAAACCCTTCTTCCAAAACCAAAACTAATGCCTCCAACCAACAATAACACCGCGACAAGAACTGGCCATGACAACTCCTTTATCCGCAGCCTCCGGTTGGTGGTGGTTATCATCTTTGTCATCGTGATGGCCATCATCAGCATAGCATGGCTCGTCATGCATCCGCGTGATCCTGGTTTTGGGGTGACGTCACTTTCTGTGACCAACTTCAACGTCTCGGATTCGCAGGTACGAGGTAGGTACGAGGTGGTGCTAACCGTAACAAACCCGAGCAAGATCAAAACCGAAGTGGTGCTTCACCGTGCAGCCATGCTTTATGGTCAAGAGTGGAACTCAGTGGCCGAAGTGCAACAACAAAGCGTGTTCGTCGAGAAGTTGACCAACAAGAGTGTGAAGGTTGACTTGGAAGTGAAGGATCCGCACGAGAAAGTGGTGCCTGAGGTTCTGGTTAAGGACTGGAACAAAGGGGTGGTTAACTTTAACGTGGTGTTGAATGTTATGGTTAGATTCCAAGCTGGAATATGGCCAAGCAAGGATAAGTTGTTGGAAGTTCGGTGTAAGGATCTTGATGTGGAGTTCTTCTCTCCAACAAAAGACACTGGCAAGCTTTTGGGCATAGGAAAGCACTGCAACACTGAGAATAAAGTGGGGCATGATTAGGAGATATTAGAAATTATCGGTCAAAACTTACAGTTTCTGTGCGTTATTGTTAGCATTGTTTTCCGATTAGAATCTAAGTATTATATCGGTAACAGGATCAACAATAACTATCACCCTATAAGTTTTATATAAAATTATTAGGATTTTAGAGTTTTAAATTTAGGATTTAGGATTTAGGATAGTATATTCAATGATATCTTGTAAATAGAAAAAATTGATTGCATATCACGTAGAAAGTGGTTAGCACCATATGAATACATGGGGATGTGACTAGAAATTTATTGAAATTTTTTTTATAACAATAGTATCTGGTCTCAATACTAATATAAGAAAAAGTAGAGTTATTGATTCTCAGATATTTAAAAATTATTTATAATTTACGGTATCCTAATTTAAACTAAACTTGAATAAGAAATATATATAAAAATCATTCTAAATCAATTTCTTGTATTTAGAAATTTTAAAAAATCTAACTCAACAATTTATTCATCTAACGAGAGGAAGAAGAGAAGGCAAATGAATGCTTCTTCCTACTTGTTAACTTCAACGTGTTAAGTTGGAAAAAAAGAAAGAAAGACGAGTGTGGGGTCACTTATGAAGAAACGGTAGCACTGGACTGTCCTTTTCTTTTTCTTTTTTTTCTTTTTATTTCTGATCTTTAATTTAGTGCACATGTATGTTGCTATATGGCTGTTTAAATTGTATAGCTGTTAAATATAGTATAGCAAACTTGAGAGAGAGAGAGAGGATTGTTTTATATATCTATGTATTATGTGAGGCCATGAGATGAAACTTTTTACTTTGAATGAAAAAGTATGTTGTTCCGTTTTACGAATATATGTGACTATTTTACTTTGTTATTATAATATATTGCTTTCTTACTAGGGTGTTAAGGACTATGCAATGAATCTTTGAAGTTTCCTGGTTGGTTATTAACTCAACATAATATTGAGGAGTTTGGAGAATCTATCTAAAATACAAGTTGCTTTGGAAACATTTTTTTTCAAAGCTAGTAACATGATATACCCCGCCATTAGAAAATCGTACTCTTTCTTTGTAGGTATGTAATTTTATAAGTTGTTGGTTGGCAAATGGCCTAGGATCCGATGAGTTTACATTTTTTATGATGAGGATTCAAAACCTTTTTGGCTTTTGTGATTATTAAAATCTTACTTTGATAAACATATTTATTTAAGGAGACTTTTTGATATTAGGGTTGAAATTTTTCTAGTAAATCTCTCTACTGGCTTCAATTTTAACAAATAAAGTCATATGTTTAATCGAACACTACTAAATTTTGGCTAATTACTAAGTATATGTTTGAAAAAAAGTTTGATTAAATGTAATCTATGTTCAAACTAAAACAAATATCTTATTGTATTTCTCCGTTTTATCCATTAGAACACGCAAACTCCTGTTTAAAAGCTCTTAAACGATAAACCAAATATATTGTATGTAGACGGAAGTATTTAATTTGAGGATCTCCAACATATAATTGACTCCTGCCTGTAGTCTTGGGAGTTAAACTTGTCAACCTTAACCAACATGGGTTAAAGCTAAAAAGTCGACAAAACCAAGAAGTCCACGAGATAAAAGAGCTCATAAAACCCTATGGACTAGGGTTAGCCCATGACCAATTTTTTATTATAAAAATAATAAATCTATATATTAATTAATTATCATAGTCCATGATATAAACTTATTTAATGCATTAATTAACTATAAACTAACTTTCAATTTTATTTTTTAAAATAAATCTTTAAATTAAGATAAACTTGTTTCAAAATAGAAATTTATTTTATATTGAAACAAATTCTTTAATTTATAGTTTCCTAAAATTAAGGTTTTTTGGCTATATATAGTAAATATTCTATAGTTGAAAATTAATCTCTTCTTAAAATAAATAAAATAAAATATAAGTGAGTTTTATTATTTTAAATTAAATTTTCTTCATATATAATATAATTATAAAACAAATTTTAATAGTTTAAAACCAACTCCTATATATGGAATATAAACATCTACTTTGTACAAAAGTGTTTTTAAGAATTTCTTATCTAATTTGATTTTTATTTATCATAATTATTTTTTAATTAAATATTAATATTTTAAAATAAATTATCAGTAAATAAAAATAATTTTTTTGTTATAATATAAATTATTTATCATAAATATAAACTATAATTTATATGTTTAA